ACTAGAAGGAATCACCAGCAGACTAAATGAAGCAGAGGATCGAACCAGCGACTTGGAAGACAAGGTAGAATAAAATACCCAATCATAACAGCAAAAAGAAAAAAGTATTATCCAAAAAATGAGGATATTTTAAGAGACTTCTGGGACATCCAGCAGAACAACATTTGCATCATAGGGGTACCAGAAGGAGAAGAGAGAGAGCAAGAGACTGAGAGCCTATTTGAAGAAATACTGACTGAAATCTTTCCTAAGGTGGTGAAGGAAATAGACATACAAGCCCAGGAAGCACGGAGAGTCCTAAACAGGAGGATCCCAAACAGGCCCGCACAAAGACACAATGTAATTCAAATGACAAAGGTTACAGACAAAGAGAGTAAAAGCAGTAAGAGAAAAGCAGTTAGTTAACTGCAAGGAAGCTCCCATAAGACTATCAGCTGATTTCTCAACAGAAACTTTGCAGGCCAGAAGGAGCTGGCAGGAAATATTCAAAATGATGAAAAGCAAGGCCTACAAACAAGATTACTCTACCCAGCAAAGCTATCATTCAGAACAGAAAAACAGATAAATAGCTTCCCAGACAAGAAAAAGCTAAAGGAGTTCATCACCACCAAACCAGCATTACAAGGTATCTTAGAGAAACATCTTTAAGATGAAAAGAAAAAAAGAAAATCAACAATATGAATAATAAAATGGCAATAACTATGTATCTATCAACAATTACTTTAAATGTAAATAAATTAAATGCTCCAATCAAAAGATAGTGTGGCCGAATGGATAAGAAAACAAGACCCTTACATATGCTGCCTACAAGAGACTCACTTCTGATTGAAACACAGACACAGACAGAAAGTAAAGGGATAGAAATAAATATTTCATGAAAATCAAAGTGAAAAAAAAAAGAAAGAGCTGGGGTAGCAATACTTAGGCCAAAACAACAGTCTTTAAAACACAGGCTATAAGAATAGACAATGAAGGACCCAGTAATCCCACTTCTGAGTATTTATCTCAAGAAACCCAAACAGCTACTTTGAGGGGACATGTGCATCCATATGTTCATTACAGCATTAGTTACAATAGCCACAATGTGGAGGCAGCCTGGGTGTCCATCCATGAAGGAATGGATAAAGAGGAGGTGGTACATATATACAAAGGAATACTGCTTGACTAGAGAAGGGAATGGGTTCTCGCCATCTGCTGCAGCATGGATGGATCTGGAGGGTATTGTGCTGAGTTGAGCATGCCAAACAGTGAAAGACAGATGCAATGCGATTTTGCTCATATATGGAAGCTAAAGAACAAAATAAACAAACAAACAAAACAGAAACAAACTCAAAGATACAGACAACATTTTGATGGCTGTCAGATGGGAGGAGGGATGGAAATGTGAAAAAGGGGGAGGGATTAAGAAGTACAAATCGGTTGTTACACAGTAGTCATGGTGATGTAGGGATAGCCTAAGGAATATAGTCAATAATATTGTAATAAATATGTATGGTGTCAGATAGGTACTAGATTTAATGGGGTAAGAGATGGGAGGGAGGTTGGGGGCAGAGTGAGAAAGGTGAATACATTAAGAAGTAGAAACTGGTAGTTTCAAAATAGTCATGGGGATGTAAAATACAGCATAGGGAATATAGTCAATAATATGGTAATAACTATGGATAGTGCCAGGTGGGTACCAGACTAGTCAGGGGATCCCTTCTTAAATTATATAAATGTCTAACCACTATATGCTGTATACCTGAAATTTATATAAAATAATATTGAATGTCAACTGTAATTGAAAAATTAGAAAAGGGGCGAAAAGGTGAAGGGGAATAAGAGGTCCAAATTTCCAGGTATAAAACAAATGTACAGCATGAGGAATGTAGTCAATAATGTTGTGATTGCAATGGTATGGTTTCAGATGGTTGCAGGACTTACCATGGTGATCACTCCTTTAGGTATTTAAATGTTGAATAACTATGGTGTATACCTGAAACTAATATAATATTGTATATTAATAAAAATATTTTAAGAATCAAATAAAAAAGTGAAAATTGCAAAATAAAAATAATGATAATAATAATTTCCTCACATATCAAGTGCCAGGCACCATTTTAAGTGGTTAGCACTTATGACTTTATTTCATCATTTGAGGTACATTATTCTCTCCCTTTCACAGGAAGCATGGAGGGGTAAGTAATATATCTAAGGTCACACAGGTAGTAAGAACTTAAGCCATATTTGAACCTTCACTAACTGGTTCCAGGATCTAGGCTGTCCTCCACTACACCATTCTCTATGGTCACTCTACTCTTGCTAGAAAAAGAAGAAGTGCTCTGGACTTCTAAAATTTATTGTAGCTCTAATGGTCGACTTTATTGAAGTGACTTTTTATAAGCAGTTACTCCAGTCCTGCAATTGTAATATTTGTTAAAGTTTATAATAAAGTAAAATGATCATTTAATTTAATCCAGGTAATCTTTTTATTTTGACTTCATTGTATGGGATTACTCCAATAATATGATTCTGCCATACCTATGAATTCATAGAAATGACAGTAACTAAAGCACACTTATGATTGTAGCTTCTATTGCTGATGTATTCACCTATAAAATCTGAGTCACTCTGCCTTACCAAAGTTTGCCATGAAATTATCTCTCTCCAATTTAAGATGTGTGTTAAACAAAACACTGTAAAATATTTTAGTGAATTTGTAAAATATCTGGGTGCCCAATTTTCATATAAGAATCAATATAATGAAATTAATAATGAATACATGTTACATATCCAGAGGCAGAGTTTATATTGCCTAATAATTATATCAGGGTGTTGTCTATTTTGGAGAATGGCCCAGTTAAAAAATAAGTTATATATAATTCACTTGTAATACCTGCTCTTCAGATATTCCAAGCCCACTGATCTGATTCACAATTAACATCTTTGTCTTTCTCTTTAGGGTATTGTTTTACAACAATTTCTCCCCAGTCCAAAATCTTGGCTGTGAAATTACAATTGCACTAAGGTTGCTTATGACCATTAGTGGGTATTTTTGCTTTCTCAGTCATTATATAACTTCATATTCCTCGGAAATATTTCTACTCTTCAGCACAACTACATCTAAAGGGGCCCATTATAGTTAAAACAAAGAGATCGAGAATTATTGTTTGCTCTTAACTCACAACTTACAATGAAATAGAAGGGTATCCCTTATGTGATGGGCACATTTGAAGGCTCTAAGACCTTGATAAAAATCAAGGCCAGTGGGCTCTAGTTTCCTCGCTATCTCCATATGCTCTACCTATCAGAGCTAAATCGAAAAGACAGAGCCAGACAGCTCCAGCCACACTGAGTATCAGGCATGGAAGGCTCACACTTCGAAAACTTGCAAAGGCCCTAATACCACAACCTTTCCTGTCTTCACAATTCTCCCGGCCTTTCAGCCCGGCGTCTTCAGTATGTCCCAGTGTCCTTTGGCTACCCTGAGCCACTCCTGTTTTGAGAAAAACATCATACAATCTAATTCACTCAAGGGTGTTAGTGACCTAATAGGTTACCTCACCTTGGGGACTTTGCCATCTAAAAAAGGAGCCTGGAGAGGACAATGCCAGGCCCCATCTTAATGAGTTACCAGTGACGGATTCAAGGCAAGCCTATGGGAAAAGGTGGTTTTTTTGGAGGAAGCCCCTTCTGCCCCCTTTCAAATCACTTCACTGCTTCTTTTACTCATTTTTGGCATAAAAGTTTAGACCCACAGCTGGCCACACACGGCTTCCAGAATTAGAAGGAAATTCATTCTCATCACTTAGGAAAATGCTTGCAGGCTCCAGATATTCCCAAATCTTAGAGTCATAAGCATTCATAGAGAAAACTTCTTCATTTGTAAAGCTGGCTAATCAGACTAATTTCTAAAATTCTTTCAAATGTACACATTTTCCAACTTTTTCAAATTATCTATCCATTCGCTTCATTTTGCAGACTAGGAACTGATGCCCCCAAATCTCTCTTAATCCAGTCATTTTCTTTCAACTTGATATGATCCTGTCCATGTCCCCACAGCTACTGCAATTGTGAAAGTTCTCATAAGTCAACTGATGTACTACTTACTTAGGTATATTGTGGGTTGATGCAAAACGTCCTAAATCTACGTAACTGTCTAATCTACACCTGTACTCTCTGTCACCGACTGATGTTTCTAAAATATAAATCTGGTCACGTCCTCTCCCTGCTTAACAGTCTTCTGTTTTCCAATTGCATTTAGAATAAAACCCAAATTCCTTGGCATGGCACACCGTTACCGTGATCTGCACTTTGTATCATTTCTGGTGGCTCCCACACCCATGCTACCTCCAGCCATGAAGGCTGATGGAGAGAGAGGGAAGGAGAGTGAGAGAGGGAGGGAGGGAGAAGGAGGAAGAGAGAGGGAGGGAGAGGGAGAGGGAGAGGAAAAGGGTGTGAGACGGAGAGAGGGAGAGAGGGGGAGGGAGAGGAAGAGAGAAACAGAAAATATTAACATTCTGTGCCTGTGTGTACAAGGGTCTGAGTAGCAGTTCTTTCTGCCTGTTTGCAACCTATCCTAGTATATTAACCTACTTCCCTTTCTTGCTGTATGTTTCAAATTGACTCAATAAACCATGTGACATGTACATCTTAATTTGCTCTATGGGCCTTTTGGTGTGTTTCTATCTGGGACAGACTTCCTGGAAGGGCATTTGGAGACTACCATTCCAGTGAGGTACTTTGCCAATATGCATCCTGTCAAAGGCATCCTGTCACCTTAGACAGGTCCAGGGTCCTTCCTTGGTACTCTGGAAACATCTATCACAGCATTTAGCTCTCCATGCTACAAAACTGTTTTCATGTTGTATTTCCCATTAGACTGTGACATCCTTGATGTCAGAGCTAAATCTTCTTACTCCAAGCACCTAAAATAATTACAAACTTGGACACATTTTTCATAAACTACAAAAGAATCAATAAATGTGGGGCAATTAATTAGTGTCCACGGAAACCAGAATTCAGGATTCCAGCATACACCACTCGGCAGAACAGGAACCTTACAGTCTCTCAAGGTCTTGAGCAGGGGTGAGTGAGAATAAGACTCATCACTTACAGCTATTTCTTTCTCCTGAGGAATCTGAGGTGGTGAAGGAAGAGGCACTGATCCTGACTAAACCACAGGGAAAAACGCTCAGTTTGATCTCCATTTTGGAGGTCAAATGGAAAATAACGAATGAGCTAGGAAGTCTCAGCAACTCCACAAGATTTTGAAATCCTATTGTGGCTCATGGCATCTTTCAAAAGAGTAATGGCATCAGTACTCCCCTAGATGTCTCTCCCTTCACCAGCTTGAGATCCAGTAATGGCAACATGGTACCACCTTTGCTGTCATTCTGGATAGAGCATGCCTACTAGATGAACATCGACTTAAATTACAAGTTTCATGGCCCTCCACCCTGTTCTTTACTTTTTGTTATGACTTGGGTGATAGTAACAGGGTTTGTTTGTTGTTTTTTTTTAATGAAATGCCTACCGCAAGGGACAGGCAGCTACTTGCAACAATCTCTCTGAGCAGAAACTGAGGCAAATAATCCTTTTGTCATTTAAGCCTTTTGTTACCCCTACATATCAAGCTTCATTCTTTTTCTCTGTCCATTCTCTTTTGCTCATGTGCTGCAGCTCCCTCTATTACCCTCTCTCCACATTCTGCTCTGTCTCTCGTCATCTCCATATTTTTACTCGGTTCTCCCTCTTGTCTTTTTATCATCGTCTTTTTCCATGTCTTTTGGTCCATTGCTCAGTCCCTCCAGCAGGGTCTCAGAGAATGTGATTAGGGATGTATCTGCAAGAAGACACAAATGCAAAGCAAAAGCACTGAGTTCCAACTGAAACAGAAATTCCCCAGCCTGGTTGTCATGGTGCTCCACCAGAACTAGAAGACCCTTCCAGAAAAATATTGAGACATAATTGATTTTAATTTACTTTAATCCACAAATAATCAGATGCCTTGAACACTTTTTTAAGAGGAAGTAGTAGGAAAGAGGGAAGACAGCTTAAAGTAAATTCAAGATTGTGTATAATAATTTGGGGGAAGTCAACATCTGTAAACTATCCTATTTTTCTGTATCTTCGAAAAATAATTTTAGGTCTTAACCTACCAGGTGCATTAAAATATAATTGACAAACCATAAAACATAATTCCCATGTAATTTTTTAATGTAAAGACATCCCGAACACCCAAACTAAAAATTCAAACTTTCAAAACCATTTTGGAATAGTCATATATTTTTTAAAAACTGTTTTTATTGCCAAACATAGCTCAAAATTAAGAAAATCAAATGCCTGGTCAGTGAGAGTTTTATACAAAATTCTACTAATGTAAAATAAATACTTTCCCTTTGTACAAAATACTGTTTTGTAAAAAAATTCTGCTAATGCAAAATAAACATTTTCCCTTAAAATGGTAGTATTTTAGTATATTTTCATAAATGCATGTTTTTATGTTCTACTTCAAGTTATTAACTTTTCCCAAAAATCAAAAACGTGAATGCCAATTCACGTTTGTTTTTAAAAATTAATAAAAGTTACATAAATCAACTAGACATGCCCAAATGACATTGGTTGATGTGCAATATTTTTGCTATTTTGTGAGCTTTCCTCGTCCCTAAGCTTCTTTTTAAACAAAGTTCTCTGGGAAATTGTGTCCTCTTGTGGTCACCAGCAAAAACAGCATGTTTTCTGCAGAAAGAATCAATCCAAACAATGGATCTAGGATTTAAGGCTCGCGGGTAGGAGGAACCATGTGTGGAAAAAGGAAATCCCTTGAAGTAAAAAGGTTGAAAGTTGTGAGTGATTAGAAAGTGAACTTTAGTTGGAAAAAGGCAAAATGCAAATCATTTGATTTATATTTAAATTGCTTGATGATCAGGTGATTTAAAAGAAGGTAAAAATGCTTACTATGTAGGCAGTTTTTGGCCATGATACAAGCCTCTATGAATAACTATAAATTTATCACATTTCTTCAATTATTGCAGCAATTCTTTTAAATAAGTAAAATGAGAGTGTATTTTAACAAGGTTAATTGGCAGCATAGACGGGACAGAGACTCTCTCGCCAGCACACCCAATAAGTGAACAAAGAGGGAGGGAGGAAAGACTCTGCAAAACTCCATCCTTTTCCACACTGATTCTTCTCTCCCTACAATTTTACGTCTCCTTATCTCATCCTCGTTTTGAGTGCAAGAATGGCAGGTACTTGAAAAAATTAGTATTTACTTGAAAATCTGATTGGCTCATTTCAGGTGATCTCGGCAACTCAATTTCTTGTGATTTATTTATACTTTCTCATTTCATGTCTGGAATGAAAGCTTCAAATTTTCATTCCTTATAACTTTAGTTCCTTCCTCTTAAAGAAATTCAGAAAGAGAAAGGTAGAATCAGGTCATGAATTAACCTATCATTAAAAGAGAAAAAAGAATGACCTCTTATTTAGGGCAAGGTGTTCCAACATCATTAAGGCTGCCTGTGTCACTGAGGAAGCATCTGATTTTCCAGAGTTATTAAAAGTCCTTTGTGCTGACATAAGCTTTATGTTCCATTTCGATAAGATTTTCTCATTTACATCGCTGTAGTGTACAAAACATGATGTAATCTAAGATGTGCAACGTCATGGAAGGTCCACTCCACTGCAGCACTTTCCAATTTGCGCCCCCTTCTGTGTGAATACTGTGCTTCATTCATGAAATTCAGAGAAATTACTTCACAGAACTCTAAGCCAACACACAGGTGGTAGGTCATCCAAAGACTGAGGAAGAAGAGTAGGCACAGATTTAAGTACTCACCTTTTTGTGCAAGCTCCACCTCGAAAACTGACCAGCTTGCTAAAAAGTTCATAGGGTATGGGTGTTTCCGTTCCTTCTCTAAAAGTATCTAGAAATGACTGGCTAAGAGAAAGGAAGTGCACATTCCAACTGTGAAGATACAGATAGGAACATACTTATTGAAGATTCTCCCTGAGATTCCTAACTCTGTTACCTCTAACAGTATTTTTTATTTTTAACACTGCATACATTCCTCAGGAAGAACCGCCAACATGCCAAGTCTGCAGTTTGAAAACAAAAGCTCGTTTTGAACTATCGAGTGCAAAAGAAAGCTTTTTTCTTTTCAGTTATTTTTCAGGGAATTTATGTTAGAAGTAGACGAAATGAATTAATTCCAATTAATCCAGTACTCCCAAAGAAGGTAGTCCTCCACTGATGTCCTTCAAGTGAGGCTGAGTTCAGCCCCAGAGGGAAATTTCTAAGACAGTTTTTAAGAGCTCGCAATTAAGCTTTTAGAACTAAGTAAGCCTTCGTCTGTTAAATTAAATATTTTGGAAGTTATCGTTGCATATATAACACATTCATAATTACAGTTGGCTCTTCAGCACATAGAAGGGGATCCCGCCTTTATTCTTGCATCAGCAAGAGTGGATAACAAAATTGTTAGATAAAATGTCAGGTAGGATATATAGCTACAGATGAGCAGAGTGGTGGGATAATCGGGCCAGGAAACGTTGTAGTTTGCAAAGCAGGGCGTTTCAAGCCCCACACGCTTTGCAAGGTTAATTCATTGGGCAAGCTACAACTTTGTGCTCAAAAAGTAACATTTGAGCACTCTGGAAACCCCTCTCATCCTCATCCTTCACTCCTTCCAAGAGTTCAAGAGAAATTCCCCATCAGAACTAAAGTCATTCATTGTGACTCCGTCGGGAAGATTCCGTGCCCGGATGGTTCTGGTTAGGTCACTCATTTTAAACCCTCTTCTAGGCATTCTGTCACCCAGAGCTTTGCCTCAGCCCTGGGGATCCCTGTACTAAATGGCCCCCTAGAAGTTTAGTGCCCGAGAAGGTCTGGGCTCACTTGTTTAAGAACTAGTCTTGGAGATTGATGACTTTGCAAGTCGGGCTGGCTAATGATCCCTGGCTGCTGCGCAATCATGGACTCGGTTTATCCTCCAGTTTCCCCGCCCCCATTTCCATCCCCCCAACCCCAATTCCCCTTGGTCAGGTAAGGTTTCCTTTACACTTTGCCCACACTTTCCTGTCTTGCTTACCCACAGCCACAAAGGAAAGAGTCCAATTATTCCATCTCCTTATTTTTGAGAATTCGGCTAAAGGAAAAAAAAAACAAAAACAAAAAATTAAGTTTGGAAATTGATGCTTCAAAAAAAAACGAGATAGGCAAATGTGGAAGGAATATTTTGAAGAATTCTGAAGCCACGTTCAAACGAGAATTGCGGAATACTCGGCAATTCAGATTTCCCAGAGACAACACTAGGTAGAGAGGAGTGCAGAATTTCTGCCTTATTCTCTAACTGCTTCCAAGAGATAAAGTCCTACAGGCAGAAGATGCAAACACCAAGGTGACTAATCAGAGCGAGTTTTGTTTTAAGGAGACCTGCCAACGTACCACTAAGTGGAGGTCAAGTAGAGTTTGATTTTTCAGAGAGGCTGATTTTAAAATATGGCAGCGACTAGCAAAGCAGGAGTTGGCACGCTGTGGTCATTGTTTCTGAATATTCGTAAAAATTGTGATAGACAAATCCTGCGAGTCGCCCCTCCCCCTCCCCCACTCCCACTCCCCCCGCAGAAGCACAATCTTGTTCGCTCCCCGCGGGAGAGATGCCTCTTGCTCCCATTTCTCCTAGAAGGTTGAGCCCTTCAGCCGCCCCAAGCGCTCCAGACCCCGGGGTTTCCCGAACCGAAGCTGCAAGAGCCTCAGCCCGGCACAGCCACGTGGCCTGCCCTCGCGTCGCTCGGGCTCCCGCCTCCTCCACCAGACGCCCGCGGCCGCGACCCTCCGTCGGGCCCAGAAAGGGGCGCTTGGCTCAGTTAATTCTCGCCAGCGAGTGTGGACTGGGGAGAGGAGTGCGCGGACCTCGGCCGGGGCTAGGGACCGAAGCGCAGGACACACAGCACCGGCATCTCCCAAATCTGCCCCCCCCACCGCCCCCAACCCAACTACTACTTTTGACCTCTGCTTTGCTTTGCAACGTAAGGCGTGAACATGAAACGGTTATTCTATCCCTACGAGTTAAAAAAAAAAAAAGTCTAGCATTGCAAAGATGGGCTTCTCTCCCACAGCGGCTTCCCTTCACTTCATCAGCTCACCAACTTTGGTTGCTTCCAATCTGTCCGATTCTGCATGAACACCCTCTTTGGGGCGCTTCGTTAATTTATTGGATAGAAATGCTTAAAATGTAAGTGTCCAAATAATTGGAATGCCTTTGGGGCGCAGGAAGCATTAATTGCCCACTCGATCGCCTAGGAATGGGGGTGGGGTGGGGTGGGGGGAAGGGGTCTCTCACAGCTGGTAACAATGTTGAACCCCCATCTCACTCTCTTAGGAGCAACCTTTAGAGGTCACAGCGCAGGGCCTCACTTAAGAGATGGGGACGCAAGGGCCACAGGGTCCTCCACCTTGGGGTGGCAGCTCAGGCGGTCAGGGCGGCAGCGAAGGCGCTGCGCTGCCCACTCCGGCCCTGCAGCCTTCTCCCAGGACAGGACTGCCTTCCGCTGGAGAATTAACTTCTGCCTCTTTCTGGCACCTTCGGAGATGTAGTCCATCTGGGTGTCGGGAAGCTTTAGACTGGGTCACTGTGGAGGGGAAAAGGCGACCAGATGCTTCTAGGGGAGGGGTGAGGGAGCAGGCCGGGGCGCAGAGCCGCAGTCCCCGCGGAGCGGCCACGTCTTCAGAAACGCCCACGACCTCAGGGCCAGCAGCGGTGGTTTGGCCCTTGGGACTCCAGGAGCCCGTCTGTCTAACCATCGGGTGGGCTCCGCGTTGCCAGCTGTCTTGCCTTTCCCCCGCCCCAGCGATTCCCCAACCGGCCCCACGGACCTAGCGGGTACTGTGGCGAAATGAGACATCACCCACTGCGTAGAAGCTGTTGCCGTCGCTGCTGTCACAGCCACTCCGGGAGGGACCGACCCCGCGGCCGCGACGGTCCCCTCCGGCCGCTTCCCGGGGCTGCGCTCGGGTGCGGGGGCGCGGCCCGCGCCCGCTCCTGCGCGGAAGGAAATCGCCCCGCGCCCGCGGGGCGGAGGGCGGCGGGGAGGGAAAGGGGGAGGGCGGCAAAGAGGCGGGCAGAGGGGCCGGCCTCCCGGGCCAGGTCGGTTTTGAATGGTTTGGGAGGACGAATTGTTAGACCCCGAGGAAGGGGGGTGGGGACGGAGAAGGGGGGCTGGAAAGCGGAAACTTTCCTATAAAACTTCGAAAAGTCCCTCCTCCCCACGTCAGGCCAATGACACCGCTGCCCCCAAACGTTCCGCCTGCGCGGAGGTATAAGAGCCTCCAAGTCGGCAGCTTTCGCCCAACTCCCAGACACCTCGCGGGCTCGCCGGCACCCGCAGCGCTTCCAGGAGGCCGAGCGGGCGTGCGTGCAGCCGTTGGGCGCCTACTTTTTGGACCTCGGGGCCATCCACACCGTCCCCTCCCCCTCCCGCCTCCCTCCCCGCCTCCCCCGCGCGCCCTCCCCGCGGAGATCCTCCCCGTCCCTCCTCCCGCTCCCTCCTCGGCGGGCCGCACCGCCCGGGCCGGCGCCGCGCGCTGGGGAAGCTGGCGGGCTGAGGCGTCCCGCTCTCCTCGTCTTCCCCGGGCCCGCCCCTCTGCCCCGGGCCTGCGAGGCCGCGCGTTGCCGCCCGAGAGATGATGCAGGACGTGTCCAGTTCGCCAGTCTCGCCGGCCGACGACAGCCTGAGCAACAGCGAGGAGGAGCCGGACCGGCAGCAGCCCCCGAGCGGCAAGCGCGGGGGGCGCAAGCGGCGCAGCAGCCGGCGCAGTGCAGGCGGCGGCTCGGGGCCTGGCGGGGCCGTGGGCGGGGGCGTCGGAGGCGGTGAGGAGCCGGGCAGCCCGGCGCAGGGCAAGCGCGGCAAGAAGTCTGCGGGCTGCGGAGGCGGCGGCGCGGGCGGCGGCGGCGGCAGCAGCAGCGGCGGCGGGAGTCCGCAGTCCTACGAGGAGCTGCAGACGCAGCGGGTCATGGCTAACGTGCGGGAGCGCCAGCGCACGCAGTCGCTGAACGAGGCGTTCGCCGCGCTGCGGAAGATCATCCCCACGCTGCCCTCGGACAAGCTGAGCAAGATCCAGACCCTCAAGTTGGCGGCCAGGTACATCGACTTCCTCTACCAGGTCCTCCAGAGCGACGAGCTGGACTCCAAGATGGCAAGCTGCAGCTATGTGGCCCACGAGCGGCTCAGCTACGCCTTCTCGGTCTGGAGGATGGAGGGGGCCTGGTCCATGTCGGCGTCCCACTAGCAGGCGGAGCTCCCCACCCCCTCGGCAGGGCCGGAGACCTAGGTAAGGACCGGCGCCGCAGCGCCCCTCCGCCGCTCAGGTGGCAGAAGGACCGACGGCCAGGCCGCGGGTCCCTGCCCTCCTCGCCTTCCTCCTCCTCTCCCCTCTCCGCCTTCGCCCCCAACCTGGTACCGCCACCCCATCCCCTGAGCGTCCCTGGAGGCAGTCGGTCCTAGGGAGAGAGGGCTGCGCTCTGGTGAGGGGTGTGCGTGCGCGTGAGTGTGCGTGACAGACAGGAGGGAAGACTGAGAAAGAGGCAGGGGTCATGGGTGAGGACAGTCTTGCCAGCGCCTCCCTTTCTCTTGGCTTTCAAGTTTTCGTTCTCCTTACAACCAGTGTTTCCAAATTCCACCTCCTTTCCGCCCACCCACTTCCTCTTGCCCTTGGGCTGAAATCCTTCCAGGTTGTTCAGCGTAATTTCTCGGTGGTGGTGATAAGAACAGTGCTCACTAGTCGTAGAGAACAGCCACAGAGACCGAAACAATAACCAACTTTACCCCCTTTTGGGTTTTTGCAGATGTCATTGTTTCCAGAGAAGGAGAAAATGGACAGTCTAGAGACTCTGGAGCTGGATAACTAAAAATAAATATATATGCCAAAGATTTTCTTGGAAATTAGAAGAGCAGAACCCAAATCCAAAGAAACAGGGCGTGGGGCGCACTTTTAAAAAAGAAAGCGAGACAGGCCCGTGGACAGTGATTCCCAGACGGGCAGCGGCACCATCCTCACACCTCTACATTCTGATAGAAGTCTGAACAGTTGTTTGTGTTCCTTTTTTTTTTTTTTTGACGAAGAATGTTTTTATTTTTATTTTTTCATGCATGCATTCTCAAGAGGTCGTGCCAATCAGCCACTGAAAGGAAAGGCATCAGTATGGACTTTTCTCCATTTTAAAATGGTAACTAACAATCAGAGGAATTTTAAGAACACCTTTAGAAATAAAAATACTGGGATCAAACTGACTTGCAAAATCATAGTCAGTTAATTCCTTTTTTCATTCTTCCTCTGAGGGAAAAAAAACTTAAAATACAAAAAACAACATTCTATTTATTTATTGATGACCCATGGTAAAATGCAAATAGATCCGGTGTCTAAATGCATTCATATTTTTATGATTGTTTTGTAAATATCTTTGTATATTATTTTTCTGCAATAAATAAATATGATTGAAAAATTTTAAGAACCTTAGAGTTTGGTCTATATTTTTAAAGCTCCAGGATTAAGCTGGAGGTAAATACCTGCTTGTTTAACTCTGGAGGCACCCAGGAGGGAGGGGGCACTAATATAAACAAAGCAGTGAAAAACGCAAATAAACTAGCTACTGACAGGTACTGGCATGTTATTTAGAAAGACAGCTTTATTATTATTCCAATTTGGTGTTCAGTGGGCTTAGAAGCATCTCCTTCATCTCCTATCAGGTCCCCAAACAACAAAAACTTAAACTTGTTATTCATTCACCTCTCTTGCTTATCTTTTGAGGAGGCAGCTGTAAAACAGTTAAATGCAAATCAGCAATACGAAGCCATTACTATTTTCTCTGGTTACTATGTATTTTTCACTTTTTGTGAGGACTTTTAAATAATAGGTTCATCTCAGTGAAATGATGCATAAACTGTTGTTAAACTTATCTATATACACATATAAATGAATACAAGTGCATAGAAAATAATAAAGTTTAATTCAGCAGGAAAGAATTCCATTTGTAAAGTAATTTGCTTAACTCTTCTTTCATGAATGAAAATGACATTTAATGTCATGTTTGCTAAAGAGAAAAGCTAAAGTTAAGGATATTTTACCATTTTGATGTTGTCCATTTGGGAAGCATGCTTCTTTATATATAACGAATATCTATGGAGTGAAATACAATAAACAAAGAACCTGAACTTTCAGTATCCTCAGTAACTATTGGAACAATTACAATTTTAAATGCTATAGCGATTCATTCAGTTCATTAGCAAATATATTTTATCCAAAATTACACAGAATTTTTACCTGGTTAGGTAACGTGTATACAAAATCTGATGAAATTAATTTAAAAAACAGGGACAAACAGTGCTTGGTTTTTATTTCATTCTGGTTATTTCGGGGTCAGGAAAATACTGGCTTTTATCATTAATATCATTAGAGTGAGTGTGTATCACTTCGTTCTTAACTTTTATATCCAGTTTACCTCATTCAAGGGTAAATAGGAAAGCTTTCAAACTGGAAAAGAACTTGACTGCCTAATTCAAACAAGGACTGTGGCAAATAAGTGTATGAATGCAAGCAGATCGTCTTTGCTCAGCTCAGATGGAGGTTATTATACTGCCCGGAGGTTTTTGTTTCCCTCTCCATACACTGTCACAGAATGCTGACTTCACAATATTAAGAATTTATTACTGTGAATATTTTAGACCACATTTTACGATAAGGAACCTGAAGCACTTACTTACGTTAAAAGATTAGTGAAAGCTTAGGGAATTAATTTTTGGATTTTTCTAGTCCTTTACCAAATAACGAGATGGGAAGTGATTGTGTAGGGGTGGGAGCGTGCGCGCGCGTGCGTGTGCGTGTGCGTGTGCGTGTGCGTGTGCGTGTGCGTGTGTGTGTGTGTGTGTGTAGCAGAAATATAAGGAAGGCGTCCTAGAAGGATGAGGGAAAGCATCAAGATGGAATTCTCTTTTGTGTGTGTGTATCATCCAACCACCTCCATTTTCTAAGTTGTTCATGGAGGAACCTCCTGGTTCACTAGCTTGGTCTGACTATTTGATATTTCAGATTTCTTGACATACATCAGGATGGAGCTGACCATGATTGCTGAGAAGGTAATCTCTATCTTAACTCTGATGATATAAAAACAAGCACGTTCAAAAAAGGTAGCCTTCCATTTGCCTCCCCCCACCCCAATATTTTTTTCTTTTTTTGGTGTTTTATTCTCTCCACTTTTCTCATAAGAAAACATTTTTGGAGAAAAGCAAATGCCACATTATGTTGTAATACTAGATACTATACTGAAGGCAATATTTCCCCCTAGATTTTCAAAGAAATAAACGAATGAAAGAAAGGTGGTGAGTAGTTTTACTTTGAATAAGTAGAATTCACGGTGGAAAATATCAACTATTAAAATACAGTTTCCAGGTTGCAGACCATTTTTGTATTCCCAACCTCCCCCACCCCAATACACATGACAATGCTAATTGTTTTTTAGAACAGAAATAAAGCCACCTGGTGTTTTTTTCTCTCTACCATTACTTTCTGTTGCATTTTATTCTTGCTACCTCTTCTTGTTTAAAGGACGCTTAGAATGATTTACCTCTGTTTCAGAAGTGAGAATTTCATGTGGTGGCTGGACCTGGAGTTCTTAATCCTTTAGCCAGAATGTATTCACTGGAGGGAAAGTATTGTATTAAATGGTCTTGGGTGAATTCTGAACAACTGAGAAGAATGTTTCTTGTACTGTGCACATAATTTTTTTTTTAAATCTTGCTCTTAATGTGGTTGGATTGATAGCCTTCAGCCATAAGAAAGGAGCAAGTTTTTGTTCCCATACACACACATTTCCCCCTTTGTGCACACACTTGCTAAGCACATGCAGAGATGATAATTCATGCAAAGTTGCAGGTATCCTTCCCATAGTGGAACATACTATAAACTAACGTTAAATAGCAGAAACTCACACAATATGTGCACTTTTCCCCCAACAACGGCACAAGCTTCTTGCTCCTTCGGTCTTCAGGCTCATGCTCATAATGGAGCTTTTTAAGGGACACTTGGCCTCTTGCAAAAAAGTCGAGCATTTTGCACATTCCACGGTTTGGCAAACTCAGAACTGGTTATTTTCTCTAGACCGGTATCAAGTTCTTCTCAGGCATATGATTTCACTTGAAGTGCTGCCCAGGAATCCTTCAAAGTGAGCGTTTGTCCCGCTCTCATGATGTCAGGCGGTTTTCCCTGCATCTGTAATTTGAAGAAAAACATACAAACCTGCGGGGAACAAACGCCACGGAAACCCAAACAGAACTCGGTGGGGAGTGGGAGTCTCACCTGCGGCGGGCGCGGGAGGGGACATGGGCCCAGTCTTCCCTGCGTGGGTGGCGGCCAGGCCCTCGCCCTGGGGACAGCGACAGTGTCTGTGCCCTCCTCCACTGCGTGCACCGCCGCGGGCCCTGCGTCTGGCCTCAGCGCAGAGGCGGCGGCTCCAAGTGTCAGCGGTAGCTAGCGGAGCAGCAGCAAGGGAGTCAGGCAAAGGCCCAACCTCAAATTTCCAGAGACAGGCCCGCATTAGCGACACACGGGGGTCAGGAAGGGGATCCCCGGGGTCCACTTTTCCAGAATTTTCTGCGTGTGTATCTTAAAGCGTGCCCCACCCCCAGCACCAGCGAAAGTGGAAGGAGAAATCAGTTTCCTCATAATTTCTCAAAGCCGGCAACCGCACAATTTCCCAGAAACCTCGAAACCGAGCCCTCGAGATGCAAAAAGATTTATTAATGATCCTTATTTACTGAACAGCAAAAGACAGAACCTAGTAAACAGGCCATGGGATACGTTTTCCATTCGCTTTTGTCCCAAGGCCCCAGGACGTGAGGCCACTTAATGTTCTCAGCAAATCAAAGCACGTGTCCTTTGAAGAAGGTGTGTAATTGGAGTTTAAGGCATGTATGGAATTCCCAGATGTCTATAAAGTAAGAAGGAGCATGTGGCAGGTCACTGGAAGGTGGGGCAGGTTAAAATCACGGGCACAAAAGTCCCCCCCCCCCTTTATATTCTCCTTAATAAGGGCCAAGGAGATAAGCCTCAGGGGAAGGATGGGACCGACCGGAGCCTAAGGACTATCCCGCTTCTATCAGAGTCATGGTAACCATGGTAAAAAGCACATGGTCAGAAAAACCTCAAAGAAAACACTCAATTACAGCCGGGATTTCGTGGGCGCCCTGCAATGAGATCGTTTGGGGTTTGCTGCAGCGAGGGCCTCGAATGGCCGTCTTGCTTGTTTACGTGGACTATTTTCTTTTCCTTCTATTTTTTTTCCCCTCTCCAAAGTTTGTGGATGTGTCTCCGTACTTACGCGTGTGATGTAGGCTCAAGCCAGGGGAACAGAAATCCAGATTGGGAAAAGAAGAGGAAAAGAAAAAAATTCATCCCAGAAGGCAAACTTCTTGGGGGAGGGGAGATTGCGAGCGAGTGAAATTAAATTTCTGTAAAACATGCAGTTTAAACATCTAGCAGATGAGCGAATGCTCAGTGGAAAGGCAAGCGCCAACATCAGCCGCTCCCCTTTCTCATTTCACGGAGGAATATAGAGATGTGCATGAGACTGTCGGATCTAAGCGCCAGTTTGAGGGTAGCTTATTAGGCAGTTGTTTTGTTTTGTTTTGGGCTCGAAGCCAGAATCGAACGAGATATGACTTTTCGCCTTGGATTCAAGATGGTGCCCTCTTTGACCTGCAGAGTGGAGCCAGAGGCAGGAGACGTAAGGATGAGGGTTCTGCCAAAGAAACATGCCCTGGCAGAGGGTGGCGCTGGGAGGGGGCGATGTGGGGTCACCTGGGGCTGGGAGCCAGAGTGAGGGGGTCTGGAACAAAGCGCCCCAGACTCAGCCACTGAGGCAGGCGGGAGGGGGAAAGGGACAAAGGGGCGCGCCGGGGGTGACAGGAGCGTGACAAGTGAAAAGTTAAGCAGGTACCTGAGGAAGTTTATCTTGCCCAGATGTTAGGGCTTTTATGAAATGTCACGTGAAGAGAACAGATGTACAACTTGCAAATGGGGCCACGCCTGTAAATACAAGGGAGGCAAAATTTCCGAGGGAAACCCAGGCATAAATCATCAACCTCCTTTTCTAGTATCTATTTTCTCCTTTCAATATTTGCTTCCGGAAAGGGAAGACACATCTTAAACTAAGTGCCTCTTTCAGGAGAAGTCGCAATCTCATCCCTTGCCAGAATCCCTCATCCCCTAAGTGCCCTGGGTGCAGAGGGCTGAGATGGAGGGCACATGTCTCCCCACTAGTTTTCCTTCTTCACATTCCCCATCCCCCACGTTTCTCTCTTGGCTGCTCAGAGACGTTTGATCCTGAGAAACGTATCGGATCTCGGTTTGGAAAAGCTGAAACTAATCAATTGCCTTTTGAAGGGGTAGAGAGTGATAAGAAGAGCACAGGAATGCCAGGCCTGACAGACCCTAAACCTCCAAGATGCTTGGAT